AGGACTCTCCTCAAAACGGAGCATTATCAGTAGATGCGGTTGTTTCCATAGCACTCGTCAATTCCTCAGTATCAAAAACATTCCCTTGGAATGCTGCTGCGTCAACAGCATTGGTGATAATAAAATTGCCCATCCAAGGTTCACCTTCATTGACCGATTCATTAACATCCATCGTATCATTCCTTTCTTGTACCAATGTAAGAGTCTGGAATGATTTGTAGGAGTGTTTTTCTTCTTTCGAATTTCTTAGCTTGTTTGAGATTTAGGATCACCGACGTAACTCAACTTACATTTTCATTGCACATGTACAGTGTCACAGCTAAGGCATTAGCAATGTTTACATATCGGCCCGAAGTTCCCATTCGTCGAGGCAGACACTGCATTACAGATGAGAATGTATGCAAACCTGCAAAGAAACAACACTCTCAAAAATTCCACTAGATCAAGCGAACATTGTTATAAAACAGAATCTCCTTTGCTAGTTCTATCAAACCAAAATTTAAGATAGCAGCAGAAATTCAAAAGTATGATTGGATTTTATTACAAATCTGTGAGTCAGAAATTAAATGGGAGATTTGAATGATATGTAGCTCTACATAATCATCTCTCATATAACAAAAGTCCTGAAGAGAATCAATACCCTGTACTCTGAAATCCGACTGACGAACTTCGGCAGCAAACTGGCGCATGCTTTCTTCAACACCCTTGTTGGTTGAATCTTTGCGGCTACTGCTAGCTAACTCCTCAGCATCAATCAATCCTTCCAAGTTGCGATATGTGACTGCGTCGAGAACATCAATAGGATCTGAAATGGCATTTAACTTCTCGCGAATACTTCACTAAATTAGGAAATGACATAAATGGTACGCCTGTTTCAAAGAGTTAGTACTATTCGAAGTAATTACAACGAATTAACGAGTTTACATTAGCAATGTTAAAGGCACTGGTGTCGCAAATAACTTCCACCCGTAGCCCCTTTAACGCACAGGAATTCATGAAAAAGTTTGCTTTTCTTTTGTTTTTAGAATGACGCTAGCATCAACAAATGGAAGATATAATTACCCAAAGCGGTAATATCCATCGGATTCTTCTCTTCCAAGATTTTCTCCGCCACAGGCCCTAAGCTGGCGTCGAGAGATCGATCGAGTTTCTTGTAGTAAATTTCGTTAGGATCAAATGATTCAAGCTCGTTTAATTTGCGTCGCTCCTCTGCTCTTCTGCGCGCCAACAACGCACGTCTGGTGTACAGCACTTTGTCATA